GCCAAGATTGCTGAGGATAGAGTAGGACGAGGCAGTGTTTCATTCTATTGTGCATACGGTCCTATGAGTTATGATGGACTTATTGGCACCTCATAAACACACACAAATTAAAGTTATATTATGTAAAACTATATATAGGAGGGGACTTCAAAAGCTGAATGGGAAATTCAGTTACCTTTGAATTCCATTTTCCCATTCACTTTTGTAGGCCCCTTCATGTTGGATTTGCATATAGGTGCATACACACAATTCTACTTCAGAACTCTATGAAATCCACATTCTAATGTCATCCGTTTGCAACAGGTGAGTGATGGGAGCGAGCAAACCTGCCCTTGGCTTCAATATCCGTGAGTGGAATGTTGACGTTAATGATTAGTGCCTTGGGGTCTGTTCTGACTCACAACGACCCTGTACAAGGTTTCCGTGGAGCAGCTGGTAGGTTTGAACCACTGATCTGGCGGTGAGCAGTTCAGTGCCACACCAATGGAATACAAGATATTATTTCTCTTCAGGATTCCTCTGCCTTTTTATCTCAGTAGTTTGGCATACATATAAGTCTGTCCACGACTTCCAGATGCATTTTGATGGAAACAGATGATTTCCCTGCTACCTACTGCGATCCCCATATCATTAAAAATCCAGGCAATCGGAGAGAGTGCACACCTCACAATTCTAGTTCAACTATTGTACCTGTTGCTTTTGACAGACTGTGATTGTCAGCAGAGATATTAACTGCCAGGTGGTTGTGACACTTTGTAAACTAACACTGACATTTGTGTTTGCATCATAACAGATTTTACAGCTCAGGAGAAACATAGAATAAGATTATGATGGACCTAGGAATTTTCCTAAGTAAAAATTACAATGGCCTACACATTAGAGACAAGGTTACGTAAGTTTTGTGACCTGAACAATAAAATTATTTTAAAATTACCTTCAGACCTTGGGGAGTCTACCAAGAAACACCTGTCTAATATTAAACATAAGATACATGCTTGCAAAGAAAAAGACAGACTCCAGGGAACAGAGAGAGAGGCAAATTCATTCTTAACTGCTGGTCAACCACACCACGTTTTCTAATCAGGCAAAATGAGAGAAAGCTGCCAACGAACCATAGAAGGAGATCAAGCAAATGTGCAATTTTTAAATGAAGTGGAAGATGAATATAAATATCACAATATAAGGAAAATGATGAACATTCTATCTTCATGATTTCTCTTTCATCTGTTCTTTGCAATGCATGGCTGTCAAAACTGCATGCCTCACCATGTAATTACTCACTGCAGGTAAGGGTCCCGAAGAGTGACAATCGAGGCAGTGATCCCGGAAGACAGTAAAACTCGGTCACCGAGAAAGGCATGTGTCTGTAAACACGAGTGTGTTTGTGCAGGTACTCATGGTGCACATGCGCACACAGATCCCAAGGTATGTGTCAGTGTATGTGTGAGTATGTTTGAGCAGGTACTTACCGCTCCAGTACCAGGGCAGTTCAGAGACTGGCATTCACCACTCATCCGGTTAGGAATTAAGACGTCTTCCCAGCAAGATGGACCCTTTGAGGAAAGCAAGACAGAAGACACGTCTTAGGCACACACATTGCCATACACATTCTCTTCCCTCCTATCGCTTCAGTACAGCCCAGAAGTAGCTAGAGTTTGACTTCACAGAGGGAGGGTATGGGACGAGCATTGGGGGCACCCCTGCCCCGTGGCCACAGCTCTTGCTTCAGACGCACACTCTGATGGCTCTCTGGGAACTCGGATTTGGGAAATGTTGCTGATTTTCCCCAAGTGATAATGGTGGCTTTCTTTGTCTAGAATGTTCACAAGGATCCTGGGTGACACAGTGGGTTAAGCATTGGACTGCTAACTGTGAGGTCAGTGGTTCAAACCCCACCTTCCCCAGCTACTTTGCAGGAGAAAGATGAGGCTAGCTGCAGCCCTATAAATGTATGGCCTTGGAAACCCAAGGGAACAAAAATTCTTTGACATAGGGTGGCTATGAGTTTAGCAATTCCAGCCCTAGTCTTTGATTAGGAAAATATATGTGCACACAAGAAAAGAAAAGAAAGAAACAAGAAAACAAAGAGGTAAAAACACTTATTTCTAAAAACTGAACAAAAGGAACAATAAAGAGAAAAAAATGAATTTGTCTTGGAAAAAATACAGCCCAAATGCTCCATAGAGAAGAGGATGGTGTGACTTTGTCTCGTGTACTTTGGACTTGCCCTTAGGGAGGATCAGTTCTTGGAGGAGGACATCGAGCTTAGTAAAGGGGAGAGGCAGTGAAAAGAGGAAGTCCCTCAATGAGATGACAGGCAGGGTGGCTGTTCCAATGGACTCAAACATAGTAACAATTGTTAGGGCAATGTCTCCATTGGTTGTGCACAGGGTCATTACAATTCAGATGGCACCTAACATCAACAACACCAGAAACAGCTAAGTATTTTCAACAATTACGTGGATGAATCCACCATGCTATATCACACTATATAGCACTACTGAGAAATAAAACGGAATCAAACTACTCATTCACATACAACCTGGATATATATCAAAGAGAGAGAGAAAAAAACTTATCAAGATTGAAAGAACACAGACTAAAAACAAAAGTATTCACTATATGTTACAATTTATAAGAAATCTAATCATGAAATAAATCTACAGTGGTACAAATAATTTAAAAGAGTATTGTCTTTATGATGGAAGAGGTATTGATTACAAAGAAGCCTGAGGAAACTTTCGGGAAATGTTCCATGGTTTGATTGAGGTAGTAGTTACATGGGAGTCCTGGTTTAGCAGTGTAGGATAAGCACTGAACTGCTAATCATAAGGCTGGCCGTTCAAAGCCACCCGTCACTCCTTAGAAATCAGGGTTGCTATGAGTTTTAAAATTGGGAAAG